TCCAAAGTGTTGGCATTATACATGTGAGCCACTGTGCCCAGCCAGGCTTCTTTCATTCAACATCATGTTTTCAAGTTTTATTCATGTTTTATATCAGTACTTTATTTCTCTTCGTGACTGGGTAGTACTTCACTACATGGATGCAATGCATTTGTTCATCCATTCAAAAGTTAATAGACGTATGGGTTGTTCCTACTACCTGGCTATTATGAGTAATACTGCTATGAACATTTATGTACAAGTGTTTTCATGGAGATATGTTTTCAATTCTTTAAGTATATACTTGGAAGTGGGATTGCTGGGTCATATGGTAACGCTATGGTTAACTTTTTGAGGAGCTGCCAAACTGTTTTTTATAGTGGCTGTGCCAATTTATAATACCATTAGCAATGTATGAGGTTTTAAATTTCTCCACATCCTTGACAATGCTTGTTATTGTCTGTTTTTTTTTTTCTTATTATAGACAGGGTAATGGTATCTCATTGTGGTTTTAATTTGCATTTCCCTAATGACTAATGATGTTGAGCATCTTTTAATGCTCATTTGTGTATCGCTTGTATATTTGTATATGGAGGCATGTCCATTCAAATTCTTTCTCCATTTTTAAAATTGGGCATTTGTCTTTTTACTGTTGAATTAAAAGAATTATTTATGTATTCTTGATACGAGTCATTAGACATATGATTTTCAAATTTTTTCTCCCATTCCAGAGGTTGTATTTTCACTTTCTTGATGGTATACATTAAAACTTAAAAGTTTTAATTTTAATGATCCATTTTTATTTTGTCTCTTTTGCTTCTATTTTGTCTCATCTCTAAGAAAACATTGCTTAATCTAAGATCACAAAAATTTACTTCTTTTTTTTTGCTGAGAGTTTTGTAGTTTTAGCACTGACATTTATGATCTATTTTGAGTTAATTTTCGGGTGTAACTGAGGTACCAGTCCAACTTCATCCTTTTGCATATGGATATCCAGTTGTCCCAGTATCATTTGTTGAAAATGATTCTTTCCCCGCTGAACAGTCTTGGCAACCTTGTTGAAAATCAATTGATCATAAATGTAAGGGTTTATTTCTGAGCTCTCAATTCTACTACATTGATCTATATGTGTAGCCTTATGCCAGTACCACACTGACTTGATTATGGGAGCTTTGTAGTATTCCTACTTAAATTTAAATTGATTTCTTCTTTCTGTGACAGAGAGAACAACTTTACCAGCCTGCCTCATCATTATAAGTCCTTCTTATCACAGAATTATGGAATCTCTCAGCTGGAAGGGAGCTTGATGATTAGCTGGTCCAGTCACTTCATTTTACAGATGGTGACTCTAAGCCCCAGAGATTTGTCTACATGATGTGATTATATGGGCCTTTCTGCATACATAGTACCAAGTTTAAGAAATCTTATCCATTTGCCCTCTTTGCTTCAAATATTTTGAAAGACATCAAATATTATAGACTGTGTACTGCTCCCTGATTCTCTTCTTCTCATTCCAATCCCAGGAAAAACTACCATTCTGAATCTAATATGTATAATTTCATGTTTTTGTACTTTTCCAAAACCAACACAAAGTAGCATAATTTTAAAAAATCATTCAGCAACATGTTTTCTCATTTCAACATTGTTTTAAATATTTATGTTGATACATATAGATTTGATTCATTTATTTTAAATCTTCTATCATATTACATTTAATGAATATAACTTTAATATATCCATTCTCCTGTTGAGAGACATTTAGGTTTTTTATTCTTTATTTTCATTTTATTTTTCTATTATAAGAAATGCTTGTACGTGTGTCCTTGTGTTCAGATATGACTGCATCTCACTGGAGAAATGCCACTACAGGGCAGCAGAGGATCTGCTTCCTTTTTTTTTTTTTTTTTTTACTAGATGTTGCAAAATGCTCGCCAAAGTGGTTATCATAGCTCCTGCTTTTCACATCCTCACTTGTATTTGACATTGTCACACTTTAAAATTTTTGCCAATCTGATAGGTATGTAATGGCATCTTATTACTTAATTCACATTCCCCTGATCACTAGTAAAATTGAATTGTTTTTCTGCATGTTTATTGGCCATTTTTTCCCCTTCCATTATGTGCTTAAAAATTGTATTGCAGAATAGTGTGGGTTTCTTTTCTTCTACAGCATGAAATTACTGCTTTTTATTTAGCCTGTAGTTAAATATGATTTCCCAAAGACTAGTCTATTCCTCCTGCCACTGCTGTCCTCCTGCTGCCGTTACTGATAGTTCCTCTACTGCTTATTTTCTGAATGGCTCTTCTGTGATGGAAATGCTTATTACTCCAATTCCCATAAGGAACACGCAGAGACATTATAATTTCCATTTTAAAGATAGGAAAACTGAGTTTGAGAGGGACTAAGTGATGTATAAAAAGTTATACATCTAAAAAGTAGAAGAGTTTTATTCAAGTTTAAATTCATTTTTCTAAAAGCACTTTTTCTCCCTGCCTCCCTATTTTTCCTTTGTCCAGTTTTTCTCCTTAGTTATATTCTTTAAATATCTTGTATTGTTTCCATCAATTTTGTACTTTTTAAAGCTACTTTTCTAATTTGTCAGGGATATTTCAAATTTTCTTTCTGTCTTCTAATAATTACTTTGTGATATATTGACATTTCTTAATTGCAATTGAGTTTTTTTTAATTGGTCATTGTCTTTATACAAATAGATTGATTAGAATGGTTAGCAATGATGCATCATTTGAGCCACCATTTAAAATTGTCAAGTGAAGAGTGAGTCATTTTTAAATAACTCTATTTCAGAGCATCGCAGGTAACAGCAATGGGGGCAATGGCTTGTTTCCTTGAGTGTTAATATTTGTGATGACTTCTAACACTTTATTAAAAGCATGTAGTATTTCTTTTTTGTGTAATCTATGCTTTAGCATAGGAGGAAACTAAATGCTATGTTCCAGTATAAAATGCTATGTTCTTCTGGAAACCATATTGATGCTTGCACGATATTTTATGCACAAAATAATTGCTATTTGATTAGTGACTTGTTCTGTTATTTCAGGCACTGATGGCAATCTGCCTAACCTGTCTTTGTTAACTCATCCTATTCAACAAGCATAGATTTAGTCCCAATTGTATAACATGTACAACATGCTTGGCTCTGGGAATAATAATCCACTATCTCATACTAATTGAGATAGGAAAGGAACTTCACATGCATCTTCCTCAGACCCTTTGTGGGGTTATTAGCTCATTTCTACAAATGAGAAAGCTGAGGTTGATGAAATTGGGCAATATACCCACTCTACAGAACTTATAAGCATTGGACACTTGATCAGTCACACACATTCTTTATTGATTTCTATAGCAAGCAGATGTCAGGCCAAATTCTTGTGTTTGATTACCTGTGTTAGAGTCTTGGGAGAAGGAAGAGGATAAAATAAGTACCAGCAAGGAAAGAGAAGGAAAATGGTTAGGTCTAACTTGAGCTGTCTGAGTGTAGGCTCCTGGGAAAGTAGTTAGCCCAGCATTCTCAGGATGCTGAGACTTGGAAACTGGCAAAGAGAAAGATAAGTTTATTCAAAATTTTACATGTGACAAGGCCTGCTACTACCTTTAGATGCTGTGGGTAGGTAAAGTAGAGAACAAAGGCCGGGCTCCTGAAATAAAAATGAATGCTTTATGTATTTATTTATTTATTTATACTATTAACTCACCAGTGATTGTGTTTGTAATAACTGATATTCACAAAGAGCTGTGTAGTGGTCCATAAACAATTACTTTCAGGCTTACTTGTTAGGAAGCTGACCTACATTGCTTTGCAATGGATTCTGAATATAGTGCAAATGGATTTTATCATTACTAGCATCACTATTTTTATTAAATGTGAAATATGACAAAGAGGATTAATGCTTGTCAACAAGCCTACTTAGCACTTCATAGTTTTCCTTTTCAAATGTGCTTTTGCAAATATTAACCAGACAAATGATTCTACTGTGATGTGAATAGAAGCCACACAGCTGTAACTCTATACTCTGTGAATATGTTTCCTGCAATGTCAATTAATTTTGCTTCCTGAAGCATATTCTTTCATGTATAGTTTCATCCATGCTGTGTGTTCTGCCTGGAATGATTAGAGGCCTGCAAAAGTGGATAAAAATAACAAATTAAAACAGAAAAAAACAACAAAACATAATAGCTTTTCAGGAGTTAGGCCCAAACTCAGAATCTGTTTTCTTTCCATTTTCCATGTTTTCATTTATAGTGTAAACTATTCGCCTTTCTCCCACCCCTTGATAAGAATGGTCTTTTGCACTCTATTAACCCCAGGTTCTAGAAAAAAGCAATTTCCTAACAGGTGAATTAACACTAGATAACATTACCTCAAATGCCAAGTCATTTAATGTGTAATTGAAAAAAAAAAAAAATTTGGGAGGCAGTATTGCAATGTCTTTTTTTTTTTTTTTTTTAACATTATAAAGGGTCTTTTCAAACTAACCATAGGCTCCCAACCTCCCGAGAGTGATTTGCCTATTAACAAAGCTCAAGAACAACTCCCACTACTAGTACACGAAGAAATAGCCCCCAATTTCCAATTACTTTTGCCGCTGACAGTTCACTGGACTGTTAAGACGCGTTCTTCACCATTGTGTGGATGTGGTGAAGCCAGGCAGTCGTGTGTGCTTCTCTTTTTGATTATGCAGTAATTAGACTGTTCCACTAATGGAAGAAGGGAAAAAAGTTTCTAGAGAAAATGACATCCGGTGTAGCTCGCTTTGAAAAACTCACTGGCACAAAAGAAGAAAGAGTAACCTTTTTGTCACGAACACTGTGAAAGGTTTTATGCGTTAACTAAGCAGCATTAAAAATGGAAAGTTGGAATCTCAAATTAGCTCAGGCATAATTGTGTGTTTGCTTGCAAATAATAAAGCAAATAGGTGTTTTAGACAAGCTCATTAGTCAATAATAAGGCCTTTCAGAGATGTACACAGGAGACTTGCTGGATGTGGATGAGCATCTCTAAGAATTCCGGATTCTGTGTCTCTGCTCCGTGAATTCATTAAAGATCCCTTGACAGTGTTCGGAGAGTGGGAGTTTGCCCTTTTGTCCTTGAACCGGCTTCACCTGAGAGCTCAGCTCTTTCCGTAGGTTATTAATGTATTAGTCACTCTATAAAAGTTCCCTTGATTTATTTTTCTGGTGGCGAATTTAATTCCTACTCCTCTTAAAATTAAAAACTCAATTCAGTCTCACCGCTCTATCATTCTTGCCCAAGCCCCCGCAGTCTTCTTTTCCCTTTTCCTTCCCAATCACTTTTCTTTTTCCTCACTCTACTTTGTATTTTTAGTATTTCATATGAATGTGACATTTTCCCTTTTACCTATAGAATTTCCCCATTTTCTCTCCCCAGTGTGAATTGAAAATGGCAATTCTTTATTCAGTGCACTGCAAATGACTAGCAATCTATTGCAGGTATGAATATAACCAAATGTCTCCCTTTTTGCTCTTATAAATTCTTAGAAGCTTGGATGCTCTTTGAGGTTTCTCCATTTTTTTTTTCTTTTTCTTTTTGTTAACAGACACAGTAAAGAGAGTTCAGAGAGGGAAAATGTTAAAATTATCAGTTAAATGAATTGCTCTGATGAAACATAATTTTTATTTATCTGGGTTTTCATATTACTGGTTTGTAACTGAGTTATACCTGAGTAAATATCTGGATGATCTTCTCTGGTTCTGTTTCTCTTTTATATGACAATTAAAAAACACTTTTTTAGCAGATTTCTAGGATGACTATATTTTTCAAACCAAAATTCAGGATCCAGAATTTGACAAAAGATTTTTGTGCCAATTCTGCCGTTGAGAAGCATATTGTTAGACTTAGATTAGATTTAGATTAGATCCCAGACTTGAATGCTGGGATCTTTCCTTGTTTATGAGATGACAGGACATTGGAAATGAGGATACATGAAGGTTTTCACCATGGAACTGTGGCATGAACAAAATAGAAGGGTTTTATATGAAGTTTTTAACATACTAGTTACATCTTCATTTTTTGCCTTAGGAGAGAGCATAATTTGAAAACGAATGGGTGAAAATAATATAATTCATGGTAGAACCTCAAATAATACTGGTTTATTAAAAATCACATTTTAAAGTACTTTCTATATTAATATCTAATTGCATCACACATTAAGACTGATCTTAAAGTTCTTCACAGCTGTTATGAGCAAATGAGTATGTCATGACACCTTGGTTGAGAACTGGTGATTTAAGATATAGTCTCCTGTGTCAAGGAACATAATGTAGTTTGAAATTATTTGTGATTCTTTACCTATTATTGCCAATGGTGAAAGAGGAAAAATGGATGAAATGACAATTTAAAAGGGCTCATTTCAACAATAAGATTTTTCATTTTGCCAGTCTTGAATACCTCTGCCATCAACATTATGACTGTCATTAATGTCATTAGCTTGATCACTGCCATCATCAGACCCTGAAAATCTGGGAATTACAAAAAAAAGAACACTATGAATTTTGGCTCCTGAGGGCCTTACATTGTTGTTGTCAGTATTAAAACAAAACAAAAAACACTTTCCACAAATACTTGGAAAATGTGCATTTAAATTGATTAATTTACTCTTACATAAATTCTCAGACTTCTCTCTACTATGTATTTTATACTGCATATTTTAGTCATTATTAAGACATGTAACATGCAAATTAAGGTTGGAAAAAGCAGACATTCGATGACATACGCAAAAATGGGGCTGCTTCTCTTTATGCAATATTGATGTGAGTTAAATTTTTGTAAATAAAAGAAAGTTTTAATTGAAACATGCTTTTACATGAACCTTGACTGCTCAATTTTAAATTAACTGTGCAGAAAGTTATCTATTAAATAGAATACATTTTTTTCAACAATGGAAATAATTGCTTTCCAACCTTTTAAAAATATATTTTAAAATTTTTTATTCATATTTTCTTATACTGGATTTTCTTAAAGTTTGAAACCCATTCAATGTGTAATCCTTTTGCCTCATCGTATAAACAGCTTATATGTAACAAAGTCTATGCTTTAGCACAGTTCTGATTTCAATTTTCAAAACTATTGAGGAATCTTGTTACACTTGTGACCCAGTATATGAGCATATATTTACAGATTTATTTAGAAACTCAGATGCAGCGTTGACTTTTGAAAAAGTGTCCTGTTTGTAGAATACTGGCATCATTACTTCAAGCAAGACCCCTTTTATCTCTGTACCCTACTCCCATAATCTTGTTTTTCTTTCACAACCACTTTATTAAATATATACCTTTTGTTTGTATATGTTTTTATTAGATGCGTTTTACCTGTCTGTATTTTTAATGCCTATAAATGGTGTGAGTATAATACTCTGGTTTACTGTTATTATTATTACTTTCGTACTTAGCATTCTCTTCCGTTCATGTTGCACTGAAAATTCACTGCATATTTAGAAGCTAGGAAGCAGCTGGCAAGCAAACAGCCTTGATTCCAATATAGAAGAAGAAAAGTCTTATTTACTGTTGGAATATAGAAGAAGGTATGAATCCAAAATCCAGACCAATATTGAAACACCCCAAAGTATCATTATAGCATATTATTAAATACTAAAATATGAGATGCATGGTACTATTTGGTAACATTTCAGATGATGGGGAAATCAGTAAGGGATGGGGAGGTAAAAGAAAGCTGGAAATTAAAGGATCCAAGATTTGAAAATGCAGCAGGGAAAGAGATTTAGAAGTTGAAATTGGTGGGTGGAGGAGTGGCAATATAGCAAAGCAAGTAAAGGCATAAACTTGGAGGCTCTGTGATACAGGGTAGCAAGAAATAATTTAAATAATGTTTATAGACCTATAACAAGGTTGGAAAAGTGGCTTTGCTAACTTATGTTCATGGGCTTCCTCTGTCTTCTTCATTTTTCATATTTACTTCTTTTTATCTCAAATTTTATCCACTTCTCTGCTGTCATAGACAGCTTTTCTTGTGTGGTTGGAGGAGATGGTAGCCAAAAGCTCCAACCCATGTTTCCCCTACAAAAGGTGATCCAAGAAGAGGAGGCTTTTTCTCACCCAGATTCTGTTTGTATCTAAACTCATGGATATATTATTCCTGATTCTTCTTGGATGCCTATTATTGGACCAATCATTGAGAACTTGGGAACGGGATACCACCATTAGTCAAGCACCCACCAATATCCCAGTGACCAACAAATCTGCAGGAGACATGCAGCTGGATAAAGAGGGCAGTGCCTCCAAGGAAGGCAGGAGCTAGGCAGATAGGAGCAGCAGATATCCATTAGAGCTTCCCATGTGATCGGCACAGCGATTCGAAGAGGCAGGTAGCACAGGAATTCCCATTCTCGTTAGTAGATAAGGACACAGTACATGCCCCAAAGTCAAAGACCTTGTAAGTAATTGAACAAGAACTTGATCAAAATCTGCTGAAGGTTTTAGAGTAGTAAAACCTAACAGTTATGTCTTATTTTTGGAGAAAATTTCTATTTGTTGTTTTGGTTTGTTAATTTTCCCCCATATTCTTGTAAACTGGGAATCCCATGACAACTCTTTAAGAATACAATTCAGAAAATCAATGCCAAATGCTTTAAGCACACAGGCATATACTCACACACTCTCATTTGCAGTTTTGTTACATTTATTGAGAGCTAATTGTGTTCGAGTCACCTCCTACATACCTTACCTATATCATCTCATTTATCATTTCATTTAACCCTAACACAGTGACTATATGATCTAGGCTGTATTATTATTTAGTTTGCAATGCCACAGACAAATTAAATAATCTGCCAAGTCCATATAGATAGTAGTTTGGTACAACCAAAATCCATACACAACCCAATAGTCCAAACAGATTTTCTTATCCAGCAAGCCATACAGCTGAGTAATGCATGCACATATAGGAAAAATATGTGCACATACCTTTTATATGGGCATATTTTAAATAATTCATTTGTGATTGCTAATGCCAGACAATCTGTAAACAAATTAAACCATATGTTTATTCTACTGGAACGTGTAAACTTCCTTAATTTGATATTCTACTGTTCATTAGAATCAATGGACACCCATAGGTCTGAACCAAGGTAAATTTAACTGCCAATAGATAATCAGCTTCATTCTTTCTGTGTACATAAAACCTAAATTAGTCATGAGGGATAATTTCAGATGTTAAACACAGTCTGATAATTCAGAAGCACATTGCCTTATGTACCATTCTGTACTTTTATCGTAATCTAAACACCTCTGCCAGAACTGAAATCTTACCATTTTTTATGTTGCATTCTAAATATAATTGATCTTGAGTTATGATATAAAAGACCAGCACTCAGCAGCTGGAAAATAACATTTTGATGGTATCCCAGACTTGGGAAAAACCCCCACCACAGAGCCTGTCAATATTCAGCTGACAAAGACTATTTCATGCTTGTTTCAGGAGAAGATTTTCAATCTGTCTGCAACTAGCTGCCAAAACTTTTGGATGAATAGGGAAGAATGCAGTCAATCACCCAGATGTTCCTTCCGCAGGAGGCCATGCACCCAGCTATTTGGAAACAATCAGGTGCCTGGAACATGAAGACAGCACATCTGGAATGTATGTGTGTATATGTGTGTGCATGTGTGTGTATGTGTGTGTGTATTAACTTTTTAAGGAGATATTTTGATGTCATGTTGAAACAATAATTACACCTCTTGAAGTACCTAACTCTGAGATAAAGTGTGCACAATTGTAGTTTAGAGGAACATTTAAGTGTAGTTCACATTATGTGTTGGTCGTGTGACTAAATGTTGATAATTCTATCTCAGGACATCCATGAATGCTGATTATCTATTGCTCAACCATATTTGAAGATTGAATATTGAACACTTAATCTCTGCTATGGTTAATTTAACAATATACTCACCTCCAGCTTTTCTTGACTCCCACTGTATCCATGCCAACTTTTAAAACTTTATCAAGCTTATCTAGTTCTGAGTGAATTCAAATGACTGCTAAAGATAATAAAACACCTAGTTTCTCTCTAGTAACTGAGTAAATGTGAATTAAAATAACAAGATCCATTGTAGGGATTTTAAACAGAAGGCAGATATGGTCAAAATGCTTTTTAAAGGCTTAGCTCAAGATGTAAAACAGATCTGAGATTTTTAAAAGCATGAACAAAGTATGGTAATTTGGTACAGGGAATTATTATAAAAATATTGTTGTAGTGAGATACTGAAAGCTGGCATTGCAGTCCCAATCTTAGATGCATTTTTTAAGAGTCTCAGTCTTGGATGCACAGAGGTAATGGCGGGATGTGAAGAAAGACAACAGGACGGAGAATAAGAAAGGTGCACTGTTACCCAACTATGGAATAAAGGAAGGTAGGTAGAGGGGTGTTTATTCGGTGTGGGCAATAGGATGAAATGTGCTCACTCCATACTGCAGAGTCTGTTAAAATGACTGTGGTGAAGAGGGGACTTGACTAGGAGCCAGGGTGACTGGGAGTCAGTTAGTACCATAGACCCTTGGTAAAATGACTGAGATCTATTAATAAGTACCCTACCCACACTCCTAACCTGCATTTACACTGGGGCTTAAAGTTTTTTGTCTTACAGCTGGCACTAGAATTACACTTAAAAATGATGTAGTTATTTAGGAAAGAACTTCAGTAAGACTCAGAGAGAAAGATGAGATCTTACTGAATCTACAGAAACATAACCCACAAGTAAGAGAGTTGCATTACTCTAAGTTATAAAGAAACAGAAATTAGGACAGTAGAGGAAAGACAGGAGAAGAAAGGAGACAGGAGTCAGTGAGAAGATGCAGGGCTAAAGTATCACAGGTGAAGTGGTCAGTGGAAAAGAGTCCCTGTGGAATGGGGTAAAACAGATTTAAGAGCAAGACTACTTGAAAGGCTGACATTCATTTTGAACTTGTTTACAGTTTTGTAATGTAAGATTCCCTTCTCTTTCCCCCTCAAATATCAATAATATCTAATAGGTTTTTAGGGGGAGCTGAGAAAGGGGCTTAGCTTTATACTCGAGTTAATGTGCTATAGAACACAGAGTGTGTGTACCTGAGAAGGTGAGAGGTAAGACCTCTAAGAAAGAGGTCATCAGGATTGTGTATCCCACTCACTGTCATATTCCCTAGAATTTGGAGAAAAACTGGTGAAGGCTTTGGATTTCCAAAGGACATTAAATAGAATGTGGGTTATTTAGATAAGTTCTACATAAAGATTTTCAAGGTCAGGGAGCCGTGAGCTGACATCTAGGCTATCTTAGAGGTCTGGACCCCTACTTTCTTCCTGTTATAATAAAAATGTTTTTTCTCCTTTAAGGAACGGATTTAATGCAACAGCTGAGCACTATGATAAATCATCTGAAACTAGCGTGGGCCATCTGGCTGTCATGAATAGTCTTAAATAAATTGAATCCAAAGTAAGAAATATAAGGAGACAGTAGGTTCCATCTTAGTTGAGCTTAAAAAAAAATGAGCAAGGTTTAAAAATCACGCTCTGGTTTTCAGAGGCTTCTATATTGCTTTGTGAAACATAGACTAGTTGTTGATGATTATGACATCATGACTAGTTCTGGGCAATGAAAGCAAAAATAGGATTACAAAAGAACTCACAGAATTCAGAATGCCAGAGAGATCCTGCAGATAATCAATTTCTCTGTTCCTATCAATTTATAGAGACTCAGCTTTTATTTATCACTAATGGAAGCTTAATGATGTTACAACTATTATCTCTTGATGATTTCTTTTTCTTATAGGTCCAAATTTAGAGGTATCTGTGTATTCATTCATTTTCAAGCATTTATTGTGTTCACTACATGTCAGATGCTGATACATCACTGCGAATGCACAGATAAATAAGATCTGGTCCCTATCCTCAGGAGCACATACTCTGATGAAAAGATATCAGGCAAACATTGCTAATAGAATTACAAGTCATGACACTTTGCCGTGGTTTCAGTGTGAGCATGGTAAAGAGAGGTTACTTTAACTTTGCCTGAGGAAGACAAAGAAGCCTTCAAAGAAGGGGTTACTTGTGAATAAAAGCATAATATCATTAGAACCAGAAACTTGGGGTACCTTCTAGGAAGTCAAATAGGTGTATTAAGATGAAATCAAGCATAGAAATATGAAAGGTCTAATTTTATGGGTAGATATTATATTTCTCATCACTATTCCAACCACAGGAAAAAAAAAGCAGTGTGGATAAAGACTCATCCACCTATAGATGAAGACATATGTCTAAATATTTATACCTACCATAAATATGTTGCACATTATATAAGTTAATATAAGCTAAGCTGTTGTAAATATAGACTCCAAATTTATTGGCTTAAGGAATAGTTTATTTCTTGCTTATGTGATTCCAGAGTTGGTTTTCCAGGGCTGAAGGTAGCTCTTCTCTGCGCAGAGATTCAGGGAACATGGCTACTTCTGTCTGTGACTCTATCATATCCAGGGGTTTCTTGTCAACAAAATAGCTAAGACTGAGTCATCGTGTCCAGGTTCGAGACTAGAAGGGGAGGCAGAGGGTGAAGTAGACCCGCTACTGCCTTAAAGCTTCCTGCTTTGTTTTGAATGTGTCCTCCCCCAAATTCAAATGCTAAAACTTAGCTGCCAATGTGATGGTATTAAGGAGTGGGGCTTTTAAAAGGTGGTTAAGCTATGAGGGCAGAGTGCTTATAAATGGGATTAGAACCCTTATGAAAGGGCTTGAGGGAGTGAGCTCACTCCCTTCTATCTTTTCTGCCATATGAGGACACAAGGTTTGTCCCCTCTGAAGGTTGCAGCAACAGGGTGCCATGTTGGGAGCAGACAGCAGCCCTCACTAGACACTGACCCTGCAAGCACCTTGGTATTGAACTCCCCAGCCTCCAGATTGTGAGAAATAGATTCTGTTGTTTGTGAATTACCCAGTTTCCAGTATGTTGTTACAGCAGCACAAATTGACAACACCCCCTAAAGTAGTATATATCTTGTTTACTTATGTTACCTTCAATTGGCCAAAATCAGTCTCATGGTTACATTTTACTACAAAGAAGGTGGGAAAGGTAATCTCGTCATGTGCCCAGGAAGGAGAGAGTAGATTTTAATTGGCAGTATGCATTCTTTGTTACAGAAATAAAATTAAAATTGATAAAAATTAAACCGTCTAGATCATTCTAAATGGATCTAAACTTATATAAAATGTATCAGGATGATATATAAATTCCTTCACTTAGGCTAAAATATTACTTGCACGAACAGAGAACAGTAAAGGCAAATTAACAATGTTCACATGGGAAAAAGATGTGGAGGTTTTGCTTGGAGACTAATTCAACATGTGCCCACAGTTTAATGTGGTTCCTGAAAAACAAACCAACACACAAACAAAAAGTGAATATAATTATAGGCTGCATCAATACAAGTGTACAGGAAGAAAATGAATTCTGCTCTAGAAAGATTTAATTCAAGATCTTTTAATAGCGTTCTGGTTCTATTTTTAAGAGGCACACAAGTAAGCAGAAAGGGTTTAGGATGACAGGGTACAGAGATTTAGAAACCAAGTTATGTGAGGACAAGTAGTATAGATACCATGTTCTGTCCTACAGAAGAGGTATCATGATGATGGAAGGGTGTGTGTATGTGTGTGTGTGTGTGTGTGTGTGTGAATTGAAGTGGGAAAAGGTATGCATTAAAGTGGTCTTTAAAATTCAAAGAAATTTAAAGTTTAAATGCTTGAAGGTTAGCCATATGGAAGAGAGAGTAGATTCATTCTCTTCTGCATCACAGAACCAAGGAAGGAACATTTTGGCTTAATATGATGAAGATCTGCATAATTGAAGCTATCCAAGAATGGTGGAACAGGCTGCATAGAGAATTATTGAGATTCACATCACTGGAAGTGCTTGATCGGAAGCTGAATGACCTCATGTCAAGCCTGCTGTAGAGAAACTTTCCTCTCAGTGTGGACTAGATGATGTCTAAAATGTTTTCCAATTTTAGGGGAACTGTTTTTACTCCCCACACTTCTGACACCAAATATGTGCTTTTTCTTTAAACCAACAATCAATTTTCCAACTTTCTGGACACCAACTGGATGTCCAACAACTAAATTTAATTAGAACATGAGTGGAGTTAGTGTCAGATCCCACAGGTTAAGGGCTCTGTCTCACAAGACTGCCTCTACTTCAGAAGCCAATTGCAAGCCCTGGACCTCCTGTACTTCTGATCAATTGGCTATCAATCAGGAGTTCCCATGACTCCCTCCTTGGGTTTGACAATTTCCTAGAGCTAGAATGGCTCACAAAACTTAGTCAAACAGTTTTCTTACTCTTTCTGGTTTATTATAAAGGCTACAAGTCAGGAACAGCCAAATAGAGGAGATACGTATGGCAAGGTATGTGGGAAGGGGCATGCCACTCGCCCAGCAACCTGGAAGCTCTCAGAGCCCCATAGCTTATCATTGGCCATTTGTGATTAACTCAATCTTCAGTCTCTCCTCTCCATTGATATTGTTGGGGTAGGACTAAAATTTCCAATGCTCTGATCATGCTTTTGGTCTTTTTGGCAATCAGGCCTATCTAGGAGGTATCTAGAGACCCACAAGTACGGTGATCTCATTAGCATACACAAAGATGCTCATCATTCCAGAGATTCCAAGGGTTTTAGATGCTCTTGTGTCAGGAACTAGGGACTAACACCAAATATTATAACCAAAGATGTCGTTGTCACCCTTGTCACTCAGGAAAATAAAAATGATTTTAAGAGCTCTGTGCCAGGAACCCAGGATGAAGACCAAATATACATATATTTTAGTATATGACAATATCCCACTAGGTTTCACTAAATTCGACATTATTTCTATGGTTTTTCTGGATGATTCAGGCCAAAATAATATTCCTGTTGAAGTATATAAATAAAAGCTACCACACGCAACTTGGTCATGAGACACAGACAGTGTGGCCAGCATCATGGGCACGCCCTTCCCTGCTGGAAAAGTACTTTTATAATTGTCTAACTAGCAATTATTTTCATGACACACCATTCTGCTTAAAATCACATACTGAAAGACAAACTATGATTATTCAGACTTGAGAACTTGGCAGACATTTTGAAAGTTAACAGTGTAAGTCTGTCACTTCAAGAGAACAATGAACAGTATTTATTGTTCATGAAAATATTTGAGCTTTTAAGCCAAAATTAACAGTGTGGACTCTTGTATTTGCCACATAACCATGACAGCTTCCTGGTACTTAAAAGAATTTTCTGATGAGGCCAGTAGTGATGTTAACAAGTGTGATTTTTTTGGATATTACATAATGAAACTTGTCAACATTTGAATAATCTGTATAACATAGTGAGCCATTATTTTCCAAATGAGCAATTCCAAATGATGCAATGATGTTTTAAAAATTATGCATGAATAAAAGATCCAAAGTACACAATAAACCAGTAAATTTTTTTAAGAAACAAAGTACAAAAATTATTGACATGGTTTCAGATTTCACCCCACAAATGACTTTAAAGAAATCTATACTTGCTGAGTTTTGGTGTAGCATCAAAGAAGAATATCCACAATTATCTGAAATTACTACTAAAATATTAATCCCTTTTTACTACATGTATCTTTGAGGCCAGAGTTTTTTCATTTTCTGTACTCAAACCATACATTTCAATAGATTGAATGCAGAAACAGATTTAAGAATCTAGCTGTTTTCTTTTTTTTTTTTTAGTTGAGTGAAAATTAGAAGTTTATAGGAAATGAGAAAAAAATTATTACAAGAAAGCAGATAAAAATCAAAACAGGAATTAGACAAGGGTCTTGGTGTGTTATTTTGGATGTTAAGTGAACACTTCTTTTTTTTTTTTTTTTT